GAAATGATCAGACAGGAGAGGGTTTTCAGGAAACACTGTTAAATGTTCCGTTTCTATGCCATATGTTAAAACAAGATCTAGAGTGTGATTAAAGTGGTGGGTGGGTTCTTTCATCATTCTATGATAGTCAATTAAAAATGACCAAACTGTAATTAAAAAATGTGTCTGTGTCCTATATTTAAAATGTATATGGCCTATTGTTTCACTAAAATGTATGTATATGCATTATAAGGCTTCAGTGCCTGAAGTTCAAGGATACAGACCTTCAATTTCACTAGTAAAAATCTTACTAAAGAGAAAAGAACTTCACTTTAACAGGAAGAGGCCTCCAGCAGAACCAGGCTCCGCAGGTCCCTGCATCCTTCATCAGCCTGAGCCTGTAGCAGCATAACCTCGCTCAGGGTTACCCAATCCAGACCTGAATAAATGCAGAAATTATGATATCTTAAGGTCTTTAAGATATGATGGGACCTGATTATTCAAGACTTTATATGTGAGGAAAAGAGTTCAATTCAATTTTATTTACTTAGCGCCAAATCACAACAATAGTTGCCTCAAGGCACTTACTATTGTAAGGTAAAGACCTGGAATAATACAGAGAAATCCCAACAATGGGACAACCTCCTATGAGCAAGCACTTTGGCGACAGTGGAAAGGAAAAACTCCCTTTTAAGAGGAAGAAAGCTCAGGCAGAACCAGGCTCAGGAAGGTGCGGCAGATCCAGTGATGAGAAGCCAGTATGGGAGAAATATGATTTCTTTCTCTTACTACCCCACCTGATGTGTTTTGGAGCAACTGAAGACTCGGGGAGCTGTGAAGCTGTCAGTTTAGCACTGAGCCAATAATGCAATAATGACTTGCTACATTTCTCAGCTCTTCTAAAAAAAGAAAGAAACAAACAAAAAAAACTTCTTGGACACAAATAAGGAAAAGCTTCCCAGGCTCCAGTTTAAGTCTTTAAGTGTGGACAACCTCATTACCAAAAAGATCCAGCTAGATTAGGGATATTTAAGTGCATGAGTAGAAAGACTGTGCACAATTGCAGGCAACAAAGCCAGAGGCAACACCTAAAGCATGGGGAAAAACACAAGCTACATTTAGCTGGGCCTAATTTCAGGACTTGCATGCTAGATCACATGTCAACTGCACACAGCGGTGTCTTTAGGATAAACTGGAATAATATGCCCGCTTTTCCTCTTACCGACAAATCAGATTACATCCTTGGATAAACTTGTTTTCTTGAATCTTATTTCAGAGCAATGTTTCAGATAAAGAGAGAGAGAGTCTGTTCAACTGAGCAGAAAATTTACATCTTATCCTCCTGCATTGTTTGTCTACTCAACTTCTTTGTACTGGAATGTGGTTTCATGTTCACTACAGATATAGGGTACGATAATATCAGATCGCCTACACATGATGCAGCATGCCTTACTCTGTCACGTAACAGAAAGCAGAATACAGGTTTGTTATCATGATCGCTAACACAATGTTCTGTGAAAGATGTTTTCCACTGTGTGTGTCTCTCTCTCTCGTGAATGAATACAGGTGCTCCAGCAGAGCTTGACTGATCCACGAAAAACAATTTTTATGTGACATGTTCACGAGTGTAAGGGTCAAGCTGCAGTTACCAAAATTAAACAAGTTTCTTTATCTTTAAACACATGTGATAATTCTAATAAAAAATTGGAAATAAATAATCACTAAGCTGGCATGTAAGTGGACGAAAGCAGCAGAAAAGCAATGTATACAAACATTTTACTGCAGGAACCATCAGCTGTCATATTACTTTGGAAGAGGGGTGGGGAACTCCAGGCCTCAAGGGCCTGTGTCCTGCAGGTTTTAGATATCACCTTGGGTCAACACACCTGAATCAAATGAAAAGTTCATTACCAGGCCTCTGGAGAACTGAGACATGCCGAGGAGGTAATTTAGCCATTTGAATCAGCTGTGTTGGATCAAGGACACATCTAAAACCTGCAGGACACCAGCCCGTGAGGCCTGGAGTTCCCCCACCCCTGCTTTAGAACATTGAGCATGTAATCCTTTTTCTTTATGTGGCAGCTGATTAAAACAGCTGATATCATCCTCATCTGCCTCCTCTCACACAGTCAGAGCCAAACTGACTCAGTTTTTTTCATTTATCAGCTGAATCAGCAAAGCAGTCTCCAGTACTGATAACTGTTTTGTTTTTTATCTGCAAGAGGAGGGTTTTTACTCATGTGAATTTACATAGTTGAAGATGCTAAAATTCTTGCTTTTGTTGAGAGTGACCACAATGGACAAGATTAGAAATGAGTATATCAGAGACAGCTCAGGTTGAGTTGTTTGAAAAGAGATTGATGGTTAGAACCAATGACTGTGGAGTCAGTGACTAAGACATCTGGAGAGGAGGGATGGTGGATAGACTGGGCAAAGGATGTTGAGGATAGAGCTGCCAGATGGAGTAAGACCACAGAGAAGGTTTACGTCTCTTTACTTTTTTTTTTTTTTTTACAGTATAGTCAAACTGTGTTAATAATTACTTTTAATAGGTAAACGTGAAAATGAAAAACAAACCTTAACACAAACTTGACACTGGGAAGTTATATCATCATTCAAAAACAAACAAAAAAATGAAGTGAGGCTTTTCTTTTTCTACTTCAGTAAGTAGAGTGGGTCAGGTCTGCATGTGAAAGTATGCCTGGACAAGATACAGCAACCACCAGAGTGAGAAGGTGTGTCTGGATTCTGGACCAGGTGCTTAGCTATGAAAAGCATTTGAACGAATGCATGTGACTGGGTTGGAAACTTTGGAATTCTTTTCCTTAAGGTTTCTGGTAACTTGCCAGTTTGCTTTTATGTAAGCAGGTAAAAAAAAACAAACAAAAAAAAAAACCTGATCAGAGTGGCCGAATATGAAACACTCTCCTACTCCTGCATACAGCTCACAGCCACATCCTCACTTTAAAAAAGCAGTAGTGAAAACTTTCGCTGGAATCAACTTCTTCAAAAGCACGACGCTAGGTGCGACTCTGCAACTAAAACTCATACAAGCAACAAATAATTTTCTCTGATAAGAATTCTCAACTCAGGATTTCATTTAACCTGATATTTCCTAATTTTGCTCCTTGTATTTGAACTTCTAGCACAAATATTCCTTCACCCTTTTCAGAACTGTTCATTTCACACAACTTGTACAGTACTTTTTTTTCTTTATTTTTTTTAACATATGCAGAGCACTTGGTGATAACCTGTCATTACATTTTATTTTTATGGACACGACCTGTAAGAGTCAAGTAACTTTGCTTTACTTAAAACTACTAGATGTGGCACAGCACTGCCATCATGTGTCTGACAGTGCAATATGCATGGGAAGGCACTCACAGTTAGTCACTGTTTTTCAAACACACACACACACACACACACACACACACATATATATATATGTGTGTGTGTTTTTTTTTAAAAAAGAGTAAATAAAATAACATTGATCAGTTAGACAGTTATTTCTACTAGCAACTCTTTTTTCCTAATAGGCACTTCACCCCAGTTAGACCAGTTATTCCAGCTTCAGCAGAATCTCACCATGAAGATAGCTCTGGCTGTGTTTACAATGGATACATTGCCATGCTTGGAGGCTTAAAAAAACACTTTCAGATGGGTTGTTCTTACTAGATTTCAGGGGGACTTGCTATTTTATTAAAGCTAAGTTTAAGCCAAGCTGTAAACACAGTGCTGTTTGATTATAGGAGAAATCAATCACGATACTTTACCCACATAAGCTATAAACATACTCCCAGTTGTGCCTATAGATCGTTGCTTTATATGACTGAATAAAAGCACTAAATCTGTAAAACGCAAATACAAAACAATAGATTCAACTGCATTAAACAACTGAGGACTGCAACTTTAATTATTTGATGCACCAGACACTGAATGCTTCACTGTAAATATTGCAAGATTAATATCCCCGAAAAATGTCTCCCTGCATGGATACAGCCAATATGTTGGTGCACCGAGCCTGGCTTCTTCTTTGTTATTTAGTAGTGATGGCGACTCCCTTCTTGGCCCAGGCGTTGCTGTTGAGCAGAGAGAGCATGAAGCGAGCCACGTCTCCTCTTCCTACTGCGCTGCCTGGAGGTTGACCATTGTTGTCAGGCACAAAGTATCCCTCATGGGTTAGAAACTCTTGAGCTGTCAAGGACAAAAAGATTGCAACAGCCAGATAGTAAAAAACCTAACAGTTTGTCCAGTTACATGCTTGAACTCCATGATTTGCTGATCTCAGAGAAATTATACACAGCAAAGTGAGACTATGCACTAAGGTAAAACAGATCACACTAAGTCAGAAAGCTTCCACTGAATTAAGCTCCGCCATTCTCTGTTGACACCCCCCACCCATGATGCAATCTGTCTGCTTTTACCTGTGGCCGGAAGGTTCTTGAGGCCAGGTGGACGCACCACAGTCCAGTTGATGTCCTCCGTCTTCTGCAGAAGCTGCTCCATCTCATACATGTTGCTGAGGACACTTCGGATTAGTGGCAGCAGGAGGAATCTGATCAGGTACGATGACTGAGTTCCAGAGTTTGCTGAAAAAAGTAAATAAAAAAACAGTGAACAGCCTGAGCCACAAAAGCCAAATAACCTTCAAAGCCCAAGTTTTTGAAAGTGCCTCCATCCATCCGTTTTCTTAGTGACATATTCAGTTCAGGCTCATGACTCATGTTCATAAATCAGCTAAAACAGAAGCTTTTAATCATTTGACTCAAAGCCAAACCTTGACACCTGTCCTTCACATTTTAAGAAAGCAAGATTAGAAATATCAGTTACATTAAAGAACAAATCTAAAGGGCCACATCTGTGTGATGCACTTACGCTCTGTGTACCAGGAGGTCATGGTGATGATCCTGTTCACCCGGGCCTCTTGCATCGCACTGACCATAGCAGTCATGGACCGAGTGTAGCCCGTCACCCCGGTGAAGAAGGAGGCTGGGAAGCCGAGGCAGGACATGACGACATCCTGGTCTTTGAAATGAGTCTCCAGACTGTCTGCCGAGAAAATATCAGCCGTCACCACCTGGAAAACAGTTACAAGACTGACTGTTAAAATGTCCATGATTACTTTTGTTGATTGCACGTAACAGAGCTTAAAACAGATAATTGCCTTGAGATTCTCATGAGTCACGGTGAGCTTCCCCGGGTTCCTGACGAGGGCGGTGACCACGTGGCCCTGCTGCAGGGCCTGGTTGACCAGATACTGTCCAGTCTGCCCAGTGGCTCCCACCACAGCGATCTTCATCCTCTAACGCTTGGAGCCAAGTCAAGACTGCAACTAAAGCAGAACACGACGTGGTGAACGCTCTGATCGCTCAAACTAACGGCGCTGAAGTTCCCTCCCCCTTTCACAAGCGTAATAAAACTACTTTTATTGTGCAATAAAAATGTCCTTTCAGAGAAATTTTGGTTTGTTGTGTAACAGCTTGTCCTTGTGCATCACTAACCCCCCAAAAAATGAATGAATGAATGAATGAATTACTACAATTCTTTATCTCTTAAGAGCTAAAAATGAATGTGCAGTAAAGACAATCTGGCACCCGAAGTCAGAGCAGAAGATTGTGAAATTACGTCTCCAGCCTGGAAACATGGATGTGTGTGAGAAAGAAAAGAAAGCACAATTTTTAAAAATTATTAAACCTGGTTGGATGAAAACAATGATATGATGATGAAGAGAGATGAAAACTTTCATTCTAGCAGTCAAACAAAACTGCACATTGGTTCCCTTTGTTTTATCCAGACTGGGGTAAATGGATCATCTCCACGGCAGAGGATGATGATGAGGTTGTTGGTCAGATGCTCACTGCAGAAACTAAGCCAATATTGTTGACTGAATTTCAACTGATGTTGTTTAGAAGATCATAACAAGCATCTCTGTGCTGATTCCTTGAAGCTATGTTAAATGAGCACTGTTTGGGGACAACACAGGCATTTTTGCAGTGAACCGTCTGTCCTCAGATTGTTGGCAGTCCTTTCATTTGTGGGTAATGTTGACGTCAAACACCATGCCGCTGCCACTAACAATTAGTTCTTTGGTTTTTAACATTAGAGATAATTACAAAACAGAACTGTTCTCAAGAATTTAACTTTTATAACTGCACCTGAGGCTGAGGCTTAAAAGTGATTTCAGTTTTAAAGCCAAGTCGCATCCCAAAATGATGGAATAACTGGATTCTCTCAGAAATTAAGTAGAAGTATTTAAAAGGAAAAAAACCTTTAACTGGTGGCCACAACACAGAGCTTTAGGGGTTAGGTTACATCCCATGCTTATGAGTTGTTAGTGGTATGAGACATCTAGTGATCTAGCTTTAACTCTGTCCACATCAATTTTACTATAAGTAACACTCAGTTCAACACCGGTGCATCAACACCACAAAAACCTGGAGATGACAAATTTGTTCACAGAGCTTTAATTTTTTTTTTTTAAAAACACCAGCCATTTGGCTGTATTAATGGTCAGTACAAATGCAATCCGGTTTTTGTGTATTGCTTACCCTTTGTAGGAGTCGCAAGTCAAAATATCTTTATCGAGCATGCAGCAGCAAGATCCATATGAGCGACTCCAAATGGAGAGTGCATTTTTTGCATGAAGCACAACTGCAGTAACTCTTATACTCTAATTATTACCATTACAATTATTAATTACCTCCAGTAGGACTGATCAGGATCACAGCCTCTCTGCAGTTGTGTAACTCTGCAGCTCAAACAGGTGACCCACCCATGCAGACTCTAATTTTACCATTTTCCCTCATTCAACAGTTTTATATCAGTAGTGACTGTTTTATATAAACATTCATCAGTGACTTTAATATGTACACCACTCCAACTGCGTGTTAACACAGACATATGGTGCTGGATCGTCTGGCAGCCTTTAAAACAATTTCCCTTGGGATCAATAAAGTATTATCAATCAATATATAAACAGCCAAACAATGGCTATAGAGAAAGAGAAACAGACAGGAAAGCCCAACAATAAAAAAAAACAACAAAAAACTTTAAGGAAGCAGTAGGTGACAGTGGGAACGAAAAACTCCCTGTTAACAGGAAGAAACTTCCAGCAGAACAGGGCTCAGGTCATCTGCCATGACTGGTTGGGGGTAATGGACTGAACAGCCTGTAGAGCTTTGCCTCTCTTGCGTCATTTACCAGGAAACTAATTATTCAACAAAGGAAATGCAATCGTCACCCTTTCAAATGAAACTTCAAAAAAAAAAAAAAGTTTAGGGTCATTACGTTATATTCAAATCAAACAGTACTTTTTAAAAGAAGACACTATAATATCTGTGCGCCTTGATCCTAACTGCAAATCCAAACTACAAAATAAAAAATGTGAGTCCTAAAGTCACTTTGTAATTTTTTCATAAACCACAAGTTTCCCAATGCAGTAGGTACAGTGACGCTGTGGGGCACTGCCTCTCCTGCTAAACACCTTAACCCCATGCCGCTAAATTAACAAGTTCATTAATCAGCTGACATCTACAGTTTGCCTTTGTCCCGTCGCTCAGTAGTGAAGTGGATTATGAAATCATGCTACACGCCCAAGATTGAATAACAACCCTAAAAACAGCAGCTCCTACATTAAATTCTGATATGTTGACCTCCCCTAACAACAATACAGCGTTATAAAAAGCTGCCTTGTCTTCAAAGAAACAAACAATTCAATTCAATTTTATTTATATAGCGCCAAATCACAACAAACGTCGCCTCAAGGCGCTTACTACAGAAACAGCGATCCAGGTGCTGAGAAAATGACACCTACACTACCAAAAACATCGGGACACGTGATTACTTTTATGATCTTTTATTCTTAAGCCCTTTTCAGTGGATTAACTTTTTAAGAGTCCACACGCTGTAAACTCTTTAATGTTTGACTCAACCATGCTGATAGCGCCAGGGCAATATAACCTCTTACATAACGCTAAAAAAAGAAGAAGAAGTGGGAAACAGTCTACGGGGCTGTGACTTTCAGAAACATGTTGGGACTGCGGGGCTTTTGTATTCAATGTCTTTAAATGCCTATTAAACCGGAAACTGAGGGAATAACTGCCACCCTGAACCTTTATGATCTCTAATGTTACACAAACCAGTAGCTGCATTTCCGCTTTTGCTATGAGTCTTTGTTTTCTTCATTTATTCATTTAGAGGCAAAAGAAGAAGAAAAGGATTTAGCGCAAAACACCGTAAGCCAAATTAACCCAAATTATTAGTCTGTTGTCATGCAGCATGCAGAAAAGGACGTTTAGTTCCTCACTCACCTGCGACATTATGAAAGCGTCCCGTGAGGGAGGCGTTCAAGAGCGAAAGCGTTCAGCTGCGTTGTAATTGTTTATCCTCAACCCAGATTTAAATGTTTTGTTTTGACGTTATATAGAGGGAGATAACATGACCCCCTCAAAGGTAATGTCGAAGTTATAGTTAGAAAGTTAGTGTAAATATTTCCAATGACTACAAGTACAAATTTCGCAGTAAATACTTCTAAAATGTAACGTCTGCTTGCTTTTTTAAAAACCCAAATCAAACATCTTCGACTTTAAGATATTTTCTTGTGAAAATGAAAAGCTATAAAGTCAACAGAAATTTGAACCAGAAATTATTTTTGAAAAACGAATTTATTCTTCGGTGCTTTATGCTGGTGCTATTTATTCTAGGTTAAATCTATGCGTTGGGTATGGATATATGGTGTATAAATTTAGGCTTTATGTTCTTGATGCATGCTCAATCATCCAGGTAACTAAAACGAAACGTTTCGTCACTCATCCAAGTGATGACGCTACGTCCAGATGAACAGAATCAACTTTTGGAGATATGTTTTGTAACCACTTCAAAGGTTTAAAAAAAATTTAACATCCCACACACCAAAATTTTATCGATCATAAAAAAAGGATCAGAGTTGAAGAAACTGTTGCGCTTGGGGGTTGAGTATTTAAGAAAATGGTCAGTGAAATCCAAAATAAAATCAAGTCAATGGTGAAGAATATTTGAATTTGTTTTTATCTACAGACATATCATCAGTAGGTGCTCACATGTAAACACAGACTTGGTCTCCTCTTGCCACCAATGTTTACCTCTGAAACCTTTCCATCTCCCTACTTGAAGAACCATTTGGACCTATCAGGTCATTAGATCAGATAATCCACTTCTGGCTTTGTGCTTTGATTATGTGATCACACCAAGGGACTAAAGACTAAAGCAGCTTCAGCCACAGTCCAGGAGAGCTGCATGGTCGGGGTTGCTTCATACATGAAGCTTATGTACAATGACCGGTCTAACTGACATCTTGCTGCTATTCTGGTGAAGGATGCAACACAGCAAAGGGCTTTTTAAACACTCAAATGAACTGAAAGCTGACAGCCAAATAACCTGGGAAGTGGTGACTGGATAAAGAAGGTGACCGCGTAAGTAAGCAACAGATTTCAAGATGTAATAGTTGAGTGAGTCTGTATAGATGGATTTCGACAGCAGCTAGCTAAAAAGCAGGTTCCAACTGGGAAAAAAGACGCTAAACATCACAGTTTTGGTTCTTTTCTTATGGTCATATATTACTAAATTTTGTATCCACGTTTGGCATAGAACAAGACTTTAATTTGTTCCTGAAATGTGATACAATATGAAATAATCAAACAAAACAAACCATTCAGAATTCAATGCTCATTGTTTTATTAGATTTTTCCAAATTCTCAATGCTGATTTGTTCAAAATGGTTTCCAGCTGTGAAGGTATTTCTGCCTCCTTTTTTCCATAGATTGCTTTACATAACCCTTTCTTAGAATTCAGACAAAACAGTCCTGTGTGGCAGGATTGAGGCCAACCAGCGGGTAATGAGATTAAAAGGCCACAAAGTTGAATGAGTTCAATGTCTTCCAGCTCTCTGCCTACTGCTGCTGCTTCTGAGCCATGCTCAGCATTTCTCAGTATCAATGAAGGTGTGTCTTAGAGTTAAAAAAAGAAGCAGAGCTATTAAAAAATGTGCACGAAGCAAAGTAATGAACTTCTATCTCAGCCTGAAAACAATGTAGTGGCTTCAAAGCCTAAAACTCTTTAGTACTTAAGCAGTCCAGTGTAAATATGTGCTCAAATATTAAATCTAGCAGATGAATTACCCGAATGTACTCTGAATCCTTTTGCACTGATGCGATGATTGATTGGTCCTTTGAACAGGAACAGTCATGGGATGTGGCGTCACAAAGTCTAACCATCTCCACAAACACACCACATCCAGTGGAAGAGGTGATACGCATACACTGACATACATGGTCGATGACCAATCACGCTGATTGCAGTTTTACTAAGTTTTACTCTTTCCTGTTTTTCCTTATTCTGGCTCTTACTTGTTGTCTTTGTGTTTGTCTTTTGGTGTTTCTTTTTTCTCTGCTGCCTGCAGCTGTTACAAGTAAGCCACATCTGCTTGACCTTTTTTGTCTTGTTGATGTTTCTGTTTGGCAGATGTTGGACATAAACTCAGACCTCTGGTATCTGGGTCAAGCATAGAGGTGGAAATATTTTTACTAAAAGTTGCAGATAGGATGTAGCTTTAATTGAAAAGTGGAGAAAGTAAACACC